TATATATGCCATATGTTAAACTGGCAGCACAGCTCTGGACACACAGTCACTTTGGCTGCTGTCATAGCCACTTTTACTACATGTCCTAGTTGCAGATCAAAGGAGTTGCAGCTTCCTGGGAGCACATTGCACCCACTTCTTTTGGGGGGTACCAGGGATAGAACTCAGGTCCTTGCACTTACAAGGCGGGCAAGTGGAACCTCTGAGCTAAATCCCCAGCCACTGTACTCACTCTTTAATGCATATCATTTGTGTGCTTGCTGTGTACTGCTATTGTGGCACCAGGTGCTAGAACAGAGTGATGCTCGCATCGCTGAGTTTAATTCCAAATCCAGACTGATTAGAAAAGGAGGAAGAAGAAAGACAGGTCCCAGCAAAAGCTGATCCAGATAAAATGGAGAGGCTTCCCCATGTTCCTGTCTATATAGAAGCTAAGTCACCAGAAGGGTTTGCATTTAACAGGGTTCTCCATAATCTGCCCCAAATAACTGAATATCAGAGGATCCAAGTCTCAGAACCATCCTTGAGGGTCTTGCTGGAAACAGTTCCACCTCCCCCAAGTCCCACTAATTTTCCCTCCGTCCCCAACTAAAGAACACAGCACAAACACAGGCATGACATGATGACCCACACATATAATTTCCCCCATTTTAGAATCAAAGGCAGGAGGACCAAAAGATCAAGCAGAGTCTGTACAACTTAGCCACTGGCAACTGCCGGGATATATCCTGGACCACAAAAACCAACACCAAAAGCAGAAGGGACAAGTACCAGCTTTAAAGAGGACAAGTGCTTCCAGAAGGGCCCCCAAGACATACTTTCTGCACAGGCATAGTCTATAAGGGGCCAGAAAGCACCCCTGGAGAACTGATTGTCAATTATTACCCCCCCAAATCCTGCAAGACTACATCCACAGAGCAGAGAGGGTGAGCGCCTTGGGAGATATATGCAGACCATCATCACCAGGTTTGTCAGCCATCCCTGAGACTCTTGTCATGGTTTAGAATATTGAGCTGTTATCTTGTCAAAGAGACAACAGTCCAAGTCTAGCATCCTTCGTGAGAGAGCTTTAGCCTCAGCAAGCCTGACTAAGGCTGCCATAACTGTGGTGCAGAGCAAGGCCTGTCTCCATGACCTGGGAGGGCAAGCACCCCTGTCAGTAGGCGGTCTTGAGCTGCACGGTTGCCTTCCTGAAGGCCTGGCAAGGTGTTTGGATTTGAATGAGAAACTGCTGGCAGCCACTACAGGAGAGAAGTCTCTGACGTGACACGTGGAAACTAAAGGGCAGTTGGATTTTGACTTTGAATCATGTCATGACTTCTATCAAATTTAAATGATCTTTGCACAAACTCACTTTGATATAACTACCTGTAGGCAGAATTCAGTGGATTTTGAGGTCTGAGGATTCACATAAAACTACCATAATGAGCCAGGTATGGTGGCACATACCTATAATCCCAGCACACAGGAGGCTAAGGCAGGAGGCCAGCCTGAGCTACATAGTGAGTTCAAGGCCAGTCTGGATTACATGATGAGACCTTGTCTCAAAAAAACAAAACAAAACAAAATAAAAAACTGGACCCTTAACATGAACAACATGAAGCCCTACTGTTGTATGGAATTCCTCTCTTCTACCTGTCAATCTTGGGGAGGCCCCTGAACTTCTTAGCTTTTTTGAGATTTCAGTTATAAAAACACTAAGGTTCTAGGGATGTTTGTTTATTTTGGGTTTTTTGAGACAGGGCCTCACTAAGTAGGAGACTGACCTAACTGGACCCTTAACATGAACAACATGAAGCCCTACTGTTGTATGGAATTCCTCTCTTCTACCTGTCAATCTTGGGGAGGCCCCTGAACTTCTTAGCTTTTTTGAGATTTCAGTTATAAAAACACTAAGGTTCTAGGGATGTTTGTTTATTTTGGGTTTTTTGAGACAGGGCCTCACTAAGTAGTTGAGACTGACCTGGAACTCACTATGTAGCTCAGGCTGGTCTCAAACTCACAGTGATCCTCCTGCCTCAGCCTCCCGAGTGCTGGGATTTCAGGTGTGCACCACCACACCCAGCCTAGGAATGTGTGTTTGAGGGAGAACAAGGTCAAGAAAAGCCTGTCTTTCCTTTTATACTCACCCCCCAGAATGTCTTTACATTTATCCAACTCTCATTTCTGCTTCAGGCCTACTTCCAGGGAGCCTTCCTGAAACCTTCAACCTACCCCAAACTCTACTCTCCAACTGCTGAGTGCTGTAGGTCAAGCTGAGAAACCTGTGTCTTTGATGCTTCCATCGCCACCTCAGCAAAAGCCAGAGCATGGAAGCCGGCATCCAAGTGGCCATAGGGAGATGTTTTAATAGTCACCCCAGGAAAGCCCAGGAAAGAAGCCAGCATTTCAGAGGACTCTCTAAAGACCTCAAGCTATGGCAGAATGTAACCAAAACCTAGGTTGCCCTGGCTCCAAAATTCACCACTTGAACAATGGTGAACTAAGATGCAGCAATAAATTGCTGAGTGAGCCATTCTGTTGAGAGGATGAACATTGGATGGACTAAGAGAGCTAATGCCTCCATTTCAGTAACCTCCGTGGCTCACCACTGGAGATAGAACCTGAGCCATTCTGCCTGAGCCTTCCTCAGCCAGGATCTACCTTCCCTGTTACCTGGTTATGGGAAAGAAGACTCAGAAACTGAGATTTCCAAAAGGACGCTGCTTTGAACATTCAGGACTTGAGCTCACCTAATAAGAGCAGAATTCCTCTGCTTATCCCTCTGAAGTCCTTTCCTGTGCAAGAGAGACACCTGTCCTCTCTGCAAATTGAGGAGGAGCTAGGCATGGTGGCTCATGCCTGTAATCCCAGCACTTGGGAGGCTGAGTCAGGAGGATCACTGTGAGTTCAAGGCCGAATACCCCAATCTACCCACAGACTGCTAACCTCAGTCATAGCCAGAAAACACCAACACAAACCAGGAGTGTCTAGCCTTCCTCAAACTAGAAAAATTGAGCAGAGTCTACACAGAAAACCTTCTGCCTGGGCTCTCAAGTGGGAGAATAAAGAATTCGAGGGATACCTGCTAGTGGAGCAGGAGTAGAATTCACAAAATCAAGGAACCCCATCCTGGGATCCAAACTTTTTTCTACTGCTCAATAAAATGATTGTAAGGTTGGGGACTTAGCTCAGTGGTTCTGCCACCTGCCCTGCCTCGCAAGTGCAAGGTCCCGAGTTCAATCCCTGATACCAATAAATAAATAAATAAATACATAAATAAAATGATTGTAATATTAGAAATTCAGCTGGTCCAAGGCCAATCTTCAAACTTACCCTTTCCCTTGAAATACCATGGAGGACCTGCTCTTCTGAAGCTTTTTGCCTTCCAAAGGGGTTCTTCTGTCTGGTTTCTAACAGTGTGACTCCTCAAATAATGCCTACAGACCGTGGGGTAATTCCCAGGCCAGTTCTTACAGAAATGGAGAACCTTGGCCTACAGATATCGCTCAGTGGTACAGCATGTGTTTAGCACTGGTGATGCTCATCCAGGTTTGGCAGCAGTGAGAGCCCAGCTGCTCAGCTTCACAGGTTGTGGGAGCATGAAGTCAGGGCAAGGAGGGAGGCTGTGTGCACACAAAGCAAACACCAAGAGAACTTTGGGGTGCAGTGTGTCTGGGAACAGCATGATGTTACCTGAAGTGAGTGGACCAGCACAAGGCACAGCGATGGCAAGTCTGACCTTGGGACTAACTGAAATCACATGTGCCATGTAGATGTTGGGGAAGGGCTGGCTCCTGGAACTGGAGCCAATAGCCCATCCTTCTGCATGTTTATGCCAGCAAGTGTGACCAATGGAGACTTGTCCTGCCACCTCCCTGCACATTCCCCAAAAGAGCCAGCACTGAATGGTGACCAGCAAAGGATGTCTGTACAAACAGATGGTTCAAGTGAAGTGGGGACCCTTCCTGGTGAGAGGGACAGAAGCAAGAAGTGGAGGAATTCTGGGAACCACCATCTGATTTCGCCAGTACAGTTTCATTGTTGTCATTTACCTGCCTTTCAGCATCCTTTCTCAGCTACAAAGTGAGGCAGTAAAAATTCTCCCCAGTGGGCAGGATTGAATGAGCTAAAACATGTTAAACTGGTAGCACAATCCTAGGCACACAATCACTCGCTACTGCTCACATATTCACCCTTACCACCTGCCCTTGCCTCCTGAGCACAAGGGCACTCCATCTCTAACGAGTGTCATTTGTGTGCTTGGTATGTGCCTTAGTTACTTTTCTTGTTGTAGAGACAAAATACCCAACAACCAAAGTTAAAGAAGAAAAGTTCATTTAGCCCACAGTTTGTGACGGTTTCAGTCCATAATTGGCTGGCTCCAAGGTGGGATGGTGTAGCAGACAGGCATTGCAGGGGAGAAACAATTGATAGCGGGAAGACAGTAGCAAAGCAACAAGGGGCCTTAACAGCATCTTTCTGCCACTTTTATCTTATCCAGACTACTTAGAATGCATAACACTCACACCCTTAATCTAGTGCCCTTGATCCTAGCACTGCACCATGAATCAATCTCAGCATCACACTGGATCCAGCCACCTCTGAATAAGCCCTATCTATGACTGCGTGAGGCTTGGAGGGACATCTAAACACAAGACAAAACAATGTGCATCAAGGTGTGGTCCCAGGCGTCAGAATAGAGTATGGTGGCCATGCAGCATTTACTTCCTACTCAGCAGGGGGAAACTAGTACAGACTCTTAGAGGAGAAAGGAGAGGGAGATTTCCCGGCAAAACCTGATGTGGAGGAACCAGAGGGGCTTCCTCATGTCCCTGTTTGTAGAGAAGCTAAGTCATCAAAAAGGGCTTAGATTTCATGCAATTTCCATGACCTGTCATTGTCCAAGCAACTGGGAGTCACAATTTGAAGGAGGGGCTCTGAGTGCCTGCAACACCTTGAGCATTTTAAGAATCCAGCTCCTCCATCAAAGACCCCTCTAGTTTTCCTTCCACCCCAACTGCACTGCCTTGTGGACACAGTAGAAAAGCAGGTGTGGAAGTTATAACTGTAATCTCAGCACTCTGGAGGCTGAGACAGGAAGATCACAACCTAAAGCCTAGTATAGGCAATTTAGCAACTCGACAGCTGGCCTGGATATACTCTGGATGAAGACAAAATCCAACAGCAAACACTGCAGGAGCACTTGCCAGTTTTCGTGAGAGAAGTCATCTTCAACTAACTGCTTCCAGAAGGGCTCGGGAGACATGTTCTCTGTACAGACATAGGGCCTGGAGCACACAAGAGGAGCTAGTTGTCAATTATGGTTTCCCCCTGACCCTGCAACATGCTACCCACAGAAGTGGGAGGTTTGGCCATGCAAGGAGATGCCAGCCACTGTCATCAGCTTTGTGACCCATCCCTGGGATGTAAGCTGGTTCAGAAGATTGAACTGACAGCACAGGGAAGAAGCCTTTCAGAACCAGCATCCTCAGTGAAGGACCCTTTGCCACACAAAAAAATAGAATAAACATGGTGCTACAGCAAGGCTCTTTCTCAGGATCCTGGGTGAGTGAGCACCATTGTGTGTAGGAGGTGTTTGGCTGCTCTATCACCTCCCTGAGAGCTTGGTGAGCTGTTTGTGGCTTTGAAAAAAAAAAAAAAAAAACTGCTGGCCGGAATGGGAGGGAGTAACATGAAAACTAAAGAGGATTTTGTATTTTGACTTAGAATGATGTTGTGATTTCTAACAATAAACCATCTTTTCTTGGACTCACTTCATAATCATTACCCTGATGTAGGATTCAGAGATTATAAAGATTCATGCTCCATATTTTTTTCTTTTCCAGGGATAGGATGGAACCCAGGGACACTCTGCCACTGAGCTCTATTCCCAATCCAACTGCTTGCCTCTTTTACAGGTAGGGAGTGAAGTGATGTCATTTTGTGTGAATGTGTTTTGAATTTCATGTCACAATAAGCTTGTCATTCCCACCATGTAAAGTCATCTCACTTGCCTTGCACCACCTTGAACTTCCTCCCCAGGGTCTGTCACCTTCATATGTCATGGCCTTTTGCTCACATTACTATCATCCACAGTACTGGGGCCCACACTGAACCACAGGAAGCGCTGCTGTTGAGCAGAACTCTCCACTGCCTGTGTGACCTTGGGTAAGCACTCTAACCTCTTAACTTTTTTGAACACTTAAATTGTTATGAACATGAAGATTCTCAATGTATAGCTGATGCAGAACATCAAGAAGAGCCTGTCCTTCCTTTATTCTTTTCCAATGAAACGTCTTTCATCAGCAAATACTCAAATGTCACTTATGCATCAGACCGACCTCCAAGGAGCCTTCCTTAATCACTGCAACCACCCAAATCTCGGCCTGTTAAACTGTTAAAGGCTTAGGATGGAGAAAAGACCAGCAGCGTTTTTTCCAGGTTCTTATTCAGTACTATGAATTAGTCTGAACCATTGGTGAATGTGAAAGATTATTGTTTATTTTAGGGCAGAAATAGGAAAAGGATCTGGGTGTGGTGGTGCACACCTGTAATCCCAGCACTCAGGAGGCTGAGGCAGGAGGATTGCTGTGAGTTCAAAACCAGCCTGGGCTACATAGTGAGTTCCAGGTCAGTCTCAACTATGTAGTGAGACCCTGTCTCAAAAACACAAAACAAAACAGAAATAGGAAAAGGAAAAGAAGCACAAAATAAATGCTCAAGGAGGGCCCGGCATGATGGCTCACAACACATGCCTGTAATTCTAGCACTTAGGAGACTGAAGCAGAAGGATTCTCACAAGTTCAAGGCCAGCCTGAACAACATAATGAGACCCTGTCTCAAAAAAAAGAAAGAAAAAGAAAAAGAAACGCCCAGGGAGAAAAGAGTGCTTTGAAGGAAAAAGAGAAGATGTATCCTACAGCCAGAATGGACAACTGCAAGAACAAGAAGGCAATTACTGATGTCTTTTTATATCTTCTTTGATAGTTGATCCAGTGGTCCCACTTGAACTCATGCTAGAAGACTGGCATCAGGTGTTGGGCTTGGCTTGTTCTCTCGTCAGAAGAATGATATCCAGGCTTTCCGGAGCTGCTACTCGGCACCCAGGGTTAAAAGTCTCTTCGATTGGCAGATTGTGCCCAATTTCTCCAGCCTCATTGCCACGCAAATTTTAGAATTTGCAAGCTCTTTCCCTGCTGTGGTCCCTGAGGCTGTGTCCACCACAGGTGTGCTCCACAGGAGTGGCTACTTGACAAGAGTAGGGAAGCCAAGTAGAAAGACCAGGTAGGATTGCTCTGCCTTCTCTGCGTTCTCCACCAAACACTGAAGGCCTGAAGCCTGCCCGTGGCCTCGCAAATTCCATACGTGTCTCAGTACATAGTGATGACATCACAGGCCCCCTGGTTTCCAGGTCAGGGAATCTACCGAAACACGGAGAAACTTCCCTACCGGTTTTCTATTCAACACCAGTCTGTTTGGGTGCTTGGAAGAGGATGTCTGCCTGCATCTTCTATCTCCAAGCTAGTTTGTCATCTGTCCCCCGGGAGGGCAGTGCAGCAGGTAAGCCTAGGTCGGCCATCTCCACACGAGGTCTTGGCGTACACACACCCCAGTGGCCACCACAACTTCCTTTTGTCCCTTCCCGCATTCCTCCAAACTTCCCCAGGCATGAGTAGGACCACAGCCTGGTGCCAACTCAGACCTGGATGTTTCCTGCACAATGTGTAGTCTAGGAACATGTCATTTCTGAGCAAGCATTTAGAAAGACGCAAGCCTTATTGATTTCTCTTCCCCTTCAGGCTACAAGATGCTTTCATTACATCTGAGCACAGTGGATGTGTCTATGGTCCATTTATTTACTAGGCTGCGATGGAAGGATCTCTTTAATCCATGAGTTTGAAACTACACTGAACAAGAAAGTAAAAACCCATCTCTAAAAACAATAAATAAAGATGCTTTATTCAGACCCCCCCCGCTTTATTTTTGTACCAGGAATTGAACTCAGGACCTTGTGCTTGCGAGGCAGGCAGCCGCACCACTGAGCTAAATCCCAGCCCTCAAACACTTTCTTGATTAGACTCTCAGCAAAAGCCAAGTGTGTTTCATTGTCAAGTGATAATGGAAGAGTTTGATGAAGAGCTTCTCATAAACCTCACCTTAAGTCTCAGGGATCTTTACCATGCCTGAGACACTTACATGGGCTCCCCAGACACATCCCAGTATGAGCTGCTAAGGACTGGGACAAGGATGGTGTCCTACAGCTGAGACAGAAAAGCCTGCAGAGAGAGAAAGTGGTATTGAGACTGGAAAGCTGAGGGAATAGCAGCCCAGGAAATTGGCTTGGTTTGAGAAGGCATGTTAAACCTAATCTATCTACCCAGAGATTGAGGGGGGTCCTTTTTCAATTATTTTCAGGTTCTCTTATTCTAAGAATGGGGATAGCTGTTCAGGGTTTTATTTTGTTTTGTTTTGTTGTTGTTGTTCTTGTTTGGGGGGGGTGTTTTGTTTTGCTTTGTTGCTGCTGTTGGTTCCATGCTAGCCAAGAGCTACTAGAGCAAGAGTCCCTTTAAGGACCTATGGAAGTGACGGCCAAGTCTACGTTTGGGATGTCAAGTAGAGTAGTGGGCTTCCTCCAGGAAGACATGAGAGAAGGGGGAGGTGTTCTGGCTGCACAATGTATAAAACAGAAAAGACTGACCAGTTCTGGTTTTCTTCCGAGGAGCAGTGCTGCTCACAGCTTCTCCTACACCATTTTACTACCATGACCTTTACTGAGAGTGTAGAGAAACCCAGGTGGGCTGTCATGGAGAGACCTACTGCCTAACTGGCAGCTACCAGGCCTACAGGGATGCAGCTAAGGCCAGAGAAGAGAAGCCAGCATGCAGGTGGATCCCAAGAGACTTCAATGGCAGAATATAACCAAGACATAGGATGCCACAGCCCCCAAATTTGCCACTTGAATGACAGTGAGAAGACTCCATTAATACGTTGCTGGTTGAGCCACTCTGTTGAGAGGATAGGCATTGAACAGCCTAAGTCCTAAGACATCTAATGCCTCTTCTCCTGTGACCTCCACTGCCTGCCAATGGAGATAGAACCTAGGCCCTTCTGTCTGAGCTGTCCTCATCCTGGAGCCCACATTCCGGCCAACTGCCTATGGGAAAGGACCCTCAGAAACCGTGTCTCCTAGGACATAAGTCAACATGCAAACCAATCTCAGGACAAAGGTTCCGAGGCTGTGGATCCACGCGAATTACCAGAACATCTGGTCTCCAGAAACAGCTCAGATAAACACATCACGCCTGTCAGACACATGTGACTTTGCTCTAGGGACCTTGTGTGCTGGATCTTCTCTATTGCCTGAAATCAACAATGCCTGGCTGCAAGAGGAGCTCAGCAGTACAGATAGGACTTGAGTCACCAGTTATCTCCCTCAAAGAGTAGCTAGCCCAGGACCTTTGGACAGACAGGCTGGCCAGAGTGAGGAACAAAAGATGGGTGTTGCAGAGAAGGTTGGGTGGAAACAAGGGATGGAGATGCATTAGTAGTTACTGCATTTCTCCTAACAAGATAAACATTCACTGCCTTTGGAGGAAGAAAAATGTGCTATTTATCACTTCAGAATGGGTGGCCTCAGCCTTGTGACTAGAAGACATGTGACTATGGATGTCATCTATCTTCTGGGTTGAAAGACTGTTGTTTTCTTGGGAATTTGACCATGTGTATTTTGGTGGGAGCAGATCCAGAGCTACACTCTAAAAGAAGTATGGGTAGCATGAAACTTCAGGGCTGAGGATCCCAAATGGAGATGACCACCATCTAGGCAACTCCAACTAGCAAGAAAGCCTCCACCTCTACCCACCCCTGCATTCTGAGCATGAGAGGTGTCCTGTGCACCCATAACTCAGCCTGACATTTACTTCCTGCATATTCTTGCAATGCACTGGAGATTAGTAGGGAAGTGTCAGTTCCGCCACTGCAATAACCTTGGCCCTATTATTTGCACTGCTTCATCTGCAGATCTTGTTTTGCATCAACACTGCATAGGTGAGGAATTGGAGGGACTCACCCCTGCTTGATGGCAAGATTTTTCTGTCCTGCCCCTGACTCAACAGCCCTGCCAATTGGAGGTTGAGAGTTTAACATGTGCCAAGTTCCTGTGGTGGAAGGCAGCTAGTTTAGAGGGCAAGCAGTTTGTGCTATTTAATGAGACTGGAGAGGCTGGTGGGAGCAGATTCCTCAGAAACTGAAAGCCAAAGAAAAGAATTGGTATATCCTAAGAGTAATGGGAAATCAAATAAACAACTTCAGGCAAGAAAATGACCATTTTTGGCTCTGGTGCTAGAGATGGAACCCAGGGCCTTGAACATGCTAAGCACACACTCTACCATTGAGTTACATCTCCACCTCTGATACAAATTTTTTACAAGAAGTATAGGTATAGCCAGGCTTGGTGGAGCACACCTGTAATCCCAGCATTCTGAGAGGCTGAAGCAAGAGAATTGCAAGTTTTAGCTTAGCATGGGCAACTTAACAAGACCTTGTGTCAAAAACTGGTGTGGGGGCCAGGGATTTAGCTCAGTGGCATCATGCCTGCCTCACAAGTACAAGGTCCTGAGTTCAACCCCCGTGCCCCCGCCAAAGGAGTAAGTGTTTGTCCATGTGATAATGTAGCTCTGAGGGAGGGAGGGGCTTCTCTGTGGGGAAAAGTCTAGAGGTAGGGATACCGGGAGAAACGGACAGATAGAAGCAGTCTCTACTGGGGAAGAGCCAGGAGAAACAGAGAAGAGATACAAGAAATGTTTTGAGCTCGATCCATCAGGAATTGGAAATACCATGATGAGGAGCACAGCGGGGAATGCCTCTACTTTGCTTCAAAACCTGCCCACCACCAGCATGTTGTAGCCTCTGCCCTCAGACTATGAGAGAGGGACGGGGGGCCTAACACAAGATTTCATTAATGTATTCCTTTACCCTGTAAATGGCAGGGCACAGAGATGGCCTTGGCTGAGGTTAAAGGCAGATAATCCACCTTGTTGGTAACCTGCTTACCACTTAGACGTGAGTGCTTAAGATGCCCCGAGTCTAGGTGTGTTTGATTTCTATGACTGGCTTTGTATGGTTACCTCAAGGCCAATGTTTGGCTGAAGTTGGATGTTATGGGAAATTGTATTTTGCCACTAATGTTTTTTGTTTTTTTTTTCCTTATGGTGCTGGAATTGAACCCAAGGCTTCACTCATACTAGACAAGAACAATACCACTGAGTTACATCCTCAGCCCTTTTAACTTTGAACTTATTTTGAAAGAGTCTCTTTGTGCTCAGGCTGGCCTTGAACTTGCAATTCTCCTGCCTCAGCCTCCCAAGAAGCTGGGATTACAAGCACGCACCACCACACATAGCTTACAACTAATCTTCTACAGAGACAGTAATTCAGCATAGCCTCTCTCTGTACTGGGCTAGAGTTTCCCCCAAGTCCTAAGATATTGGACATTCAGCCCCTGAAGAAAAGCTTAAAAACCTCAAAAATACAAAAACTAAATTCTCCCACCCATTCCTTTATCAACAGTTACTGTTTATTCCTGTCTATCTCTTCCCTGTTCTTTGCACCTCCACCTCCTGCAGTCTATCACGAGTGGAACAGTCATGCTATTTACCCTCAAACCCTCATCTTTAACCTAGAAACCAGAAAATCCAAGAACTTTGCCTCCTTCTTGTCACTTAGACAGGGTGGGCTTTGCTGACAAGTTCACTAAAGGAAAAGAGCCAGGTCTATCTTGGAGTGCAAAAACCACCCAGGGCCAGGACATAGCTTGGAGTCATCTGAACTAGATTCCTAGGGTACTGACTCTCTGCAATGCCTACTTAAAGAACCCTCTAGCTGCAGTAAGCAAGGAGTTGACCCACCCCCAGCACAGTTCTGTTGATTTGCCTTCCTCCTGGACAGCAGTACTAGGCAACAACAAATGCACAGCTCCTAAATGCACCCAAGCTGGGAACCCTTCCTCCCTAGTAGCTTGGAACCTCCAGTCTCTTTGGAATGTTTGCTCATTCCATTTTTAAACAGTCTTCTCGAATCTCTAAGTCCTCGTGCACTGATCTTGCAGCATCAAGATTCAGAGCAGAATATTGAGAAGCTGAGAGGAAAGAACAGGAAATAGGAACAAGCCTGAGCAAGGAGTAAGTTTGGGCACTGCTCCCAAAGCCTCTTGGTGGCAATTCAATGACAGCATGTGTGCCCATGTATGTGGGCATGTGGGCGTGTGTTGGAGGGTTCCTGGAGGAAGTTGGGAGGCCCTAGGCTGGAATAGGGGTGGAGCCTACCAGAAAAAGAAGGGAACTCAGCCCTTGGAGTTACCATTAGAACTAAAGCCACAAGATCCACAAGATAAGGCAGGGTCAGTTACAGAACACTGGGTCCATGCCTTTCCTTAAGACCCATACTTCTGACCTGGCTTCCACACTGAGGTAGAAACAATCCTGGCCATCAGGTCAGGCTGCAGCCCGTGGAGGAAGGTGCTGGGGTGGGGGCTCTGCTGTACTGGAAATTACTTCCTTTCCTTCTACCCAAATAGCTGCTGGAGTTCCTGCTCTACTAAGTGAGCATTCCTTGGCCCTCTCCAGATGCTCCCTCAGTTCTCATCTGGACTGTTCCTTCATGAGAGTCCTAGGCAGGTAGAGCATCTCCTGAGGAGGAAGGCCTTTCCTGAGGCTGATGTGGAGTCATAGGGGAGGGGCCTGGCTGGAGTCGCCGGGGGATGGACATGTGGCCATGATAAAACAGGGAAAAGTCGGGGTCTAAGGGTCCTTTCCTGAATCCAAAGTCCAGGAGGTTAATCCTTATTTCCAGAAAATGTCTCCTCCCACCTTACCTGGCAGCACAGAGAAACCAAGAGCTCACAGAGCTGTGGTCACAGAGACACATATGGCCCTCAAGGCAGACTGTTAGCAACCCAGGGACATGATGTGGTCTGGAAAGATCTCAGGGCCTGAGGCCACACTGTGAGAGAAACACCCTCATCGCTTTCTTGGAAACAAACCCTAAAGGTGGCTGGTAAGCCACCTGGTTTGCCCCCCAACCCATCCCAGCAGTGGAGAGGATGACAGGGGCAGGGGCGAAGGGAGTCCGCCAAGCTGTTGGCCCACCCAGCCTGCCAGGAAGCCCTTTAGGAGGAGGGGTGTCATGGCACTCCCTGGCGACAGCTGCAGGACTTTGCGACACTCCGACACTCCGTGTGGCAGTCACAGCATCCCACAACATCAGTCTCTCTTTCAACGCAACACTGCCTGGTGGCTTGAATCGAGGGTTAGAACTCCATTGTTGCTTTCTGCCTCTCAGGGTCTCACGACTGTCACTCTTGCCTGCTGCCTCTTTCCTGTACAACATGGAGCCCATAGGCTTTGAGGGTCCCCACGTGCTCCGCCAGTGGCCTCTGCTGTGCTCACTGCTCCTGCCAGCACTGCTGCTACAGCCATTAGCCTGCACCCAAGCCACACTGGGCACCCTCAGCACCGTGACCACACCAGGCACCCCTGGCTCTGAGACCACATCCATCACCCCCCAGGGGTCTGGGGTTACGAGCGCGCTCAGGCCCTGAATGCGGGACTTCCCACTGGTGGACGGTGCATAGGTGCCATGTGAGGACACATGGAGGTTCCAATGTGCAGAAGAGGGTTCCAAGCATGCAGGGTTATCAAGGAGGCTCTTTCACACCACCACCTTATGCCTTGTCTCCCATTATCCATGGGTACCCTTCCCTTGCTCTATCACTGCCTCTCTGGTGGGAACCCTCCCAGCCCAGGCCTCAGGGCATCTTGGTACAGTCTGGTGGCAGTGTGGAGTGGTGGTTCCCCAGGAATATGTCTTGCCTGGCCTGGTAGCCTGAAAGGGCCCACTCATTTGTCCTTGACCTTGACCCTGCCTTAACATCCTTTCAGCCACAATGACCTGCCCTTGATCCTGAGGCAGTTTTACCAGGATTCACTACAGAATGTCAACCTGCACAATTTCAGCCATGGCCAGACCAGCCTGGACGAGCTTAGAGATGGCCTCGTGGGTGCTCAGGTACTACACGGACACACAGGGTGACTGTGGTTAGCCACAGGGAACTCACTTACATAATAATGACCCAAAAAGATGCTGGAGCAGCAAGGGCTGCAGCCAGCTGACTTGGTGGGCAGGACAGTACTATAGAACAAGCAATGTATTACATATAGCCTCCAGGCCCATTGGGTGCTGTGGCCTCTGTAGAGGCCCCAGGAGTTCCAAAACAGCCCCTGCCAGGCCAACACCTGACTTTCCCCCCAGTTCTGGTCAGCCTACATCCCATGCCAGACCCAGAACCGGGACGCTGTGCACCTCACCCTGGAGCAGGTCGACCTCATCCACCATGTGTGTGCCTCCTACTCTGAGCTGGAGCTGGTGACCTCAGTTGAAGGTAAGAGGATTGATGAGGCCCTTGTGGCTAAGACAAGCTCCGTGGCCATTATGCAGGGCAGAGAGCTCATCTAAGGACACGCACCTCTTCTACAACAATGTCAGCGGGCTGACCAGCTTTGGGAAGAAGGTAAGGACCCTGCTTCATACTCCACCCCACAGAAATATTCATGCTCCACTTCTCCCTGCAGATGTCTGCATATGCATCCCTGATACTGCTCCCAACCTATCCCCACAGAAGGTGGTGATGGAGATGAATCGCCTGGGCATGATGGTAGACTTGTCCCATGTCTCTGATGCTGTGGCATGGCAGGCCTTGGAAGTGTCACAGGCACCTGTGATCTTCTCCCACTCAGCTGCCTGGGGTATATGCAATGACACTCGGAATGTTCCTGATGACATCCTGCAGCTTCTGGTGAGAAATTGCCCTGCCTTGGAACCTAAAGCAAGAGTTTCAAACTTGAGCTCTTGACTTCCTCAGACCCCCAGCTGAACTTCATCTGCCCCACAAACCCACAGTGCTCAAGCTTTAAACTCTTGAATCCAGAGGGTGTTCTAGATGGTGATTCTAGATGGTAAATATTTCTCTAACTCTCAAACCTAAAGCCAAGACACCTTAAACCTGAGACTCCCCTGTTCACACAAACTCAGAGAGGTGAAGTCTCTCCTGGCTCCCAAAATCAGGGCTCATATGGCCCTGGGGGTGGATAGACACATGGTTGTTCAAGGACCCAAGATGAGTGTTCATTTAACTATTCCCGCAGGAGAAGAACGGCGGCATTGGGATGGTGTCCTTGTCTGTAGGGGTGCTGCAGTGCAACCTGTTAGCCATTGTGTCCACTGTAGCAGGTGATCCCCCGTGCTCTCTAAACAGCTCTGATCTGGACCTGAAGCCTTGGCGGGGGGTCTCAGTGCAGCTCCAGTGGTCTGACCAAAAATCTCATGATGAACAGTACACAGCACCTTGGTGTTATGTGGAACCAGAGTCCACATTGCCATGCTGATAGGGATAAGGGAAGGAGCCTGACAGAGGTGAGTGCTGACCCTGTACCCTCTAGGGGACTACTAGAGCACCCTACCTCTGCCTTAGGACTCTGGAGTCTGTCAGCTGTACTTTTTGACCCTCTTTCATCTTCCACACACCTGGAAAGAGCCCCCGCTGGATGTCCAAGGAGACTGGAGGCCGGGTGAATCTGGAGGGGAAATAGCTCCAGTGGCTGCCATTTTAAATGGGCTCACTCCAAACTTGAAGTCCAGTCTAGGGCCAGCTGGGATCAGTTAAAGACAAACCTCAGGGACTTCAGATGGCCACACAGGGCATAGGCCATGAACGAACTGGCCTGCAGGGTACAAGCAGAGTCTAGATCAAGAGCACTCCTGCCCAAGAACCCCACACTACTCTCCATCTCCCAGATCACTTCGACCACATCAAGGCAGTTATCGGGTCCAAATTCATCGGGATTGGCGGAGATTATGATGGCACCAGCCAGTGAGTACTGCCCTGCGGCTTATCTGGGCCTGCTTTGCAGTCACCATCCACCCTACCATGGTCCTCATGGCCTTTTGACTTTAGCCACCCAGCATCTCCCATTCCCAGCGTCTGTTTCCTCCAACCTCCTATCTGCCTTCAGCCCAGGGTCCCTACTCTAAGGTATCATATTTGGCCAAGCCACCAGACAACACATCCACCCAGTCCACGCACCCACCCCAGCCCCAGGAGATTGTCAACAATGTCCAGTGTAAGCTGACCATCTTCTCTGCCCAGTTCTGAAGATGGAGGAGAGGGGCAATCAGCAGAAGGTATAGATCATAAAAGTGCAGTTGAATGACTTTTGGCAAATATCCAAGGAGGTTTTGGAGCCTCCTCTGAAGGGTGCAGAGCAGGAATGATCACTTGCTGTCTTCAAATCTCCAGTTCACACATCTGACCAGGGTTGGAATACAAAGTACCAGGACATACAGGGCTGGGATTCTGAGTTGGGATCAGGGCACCAAATCAGAGAACCACCTGCTGATGGCCACACACGTTCCCTGAGGGGCTGGAGGATGTGTCTACATACCCCATGCTGATAGAGGAGCTGCTGAGTTGGGGCTGGAGTGAGGAAGAGCTTCACGGTGTGCTTCAAGGAAACCTGCTGCGGGTCTTCAGGCGAGTGGAGCAGGTAACGCTGGGCTGGGCAAGAGAGTGGTACAGGGTTTGAGTGGGTGCATCAAAGGGCTCCAGGGGAACTGCTGACCACCAAGTGCCACCTCTAGGTTCGGGAGAAAAACAAGTGGCAAAGCCCACTGGAAGATACAGTTCCAGAAGAACAGCTGGACAGGGGTTGCCGCTCTATCCTCCCACATCAGCATCAGAGACCACAACTGGTTCCAAAACAGACTCCAGCCAAGAGCCCATCAGATCTGGCACCTGCATTATCTCCTAGGTGGTCAACCTCAAAATCTTCCCCTAGCCTAGCTTAGGCCTTACAGTGGTTACGATCTTCCCAGTTCTTATTCTGTGGCTCTGGTGACCCAGTTAGCCCTGCCAGATGTCATTTTGGCAGCCTTGAACACCCCACAAAGGTCCCTCCTTGGGCAGATACAAACATTTCCTGGAAATAAATGCTTTGGACATGGAAGCAGGTGCGATTATCTTTCTCTGCAGTACAGTCTGGTGGTACAGGCTCCCAGTACTGGTGGCCGGTTAGGGAACCTGGCATTTCAGCCACCAGTTGTTCAGGAGAGCCTGTTGGCAGCATCCTGAGGCAACCCAACCCCAGCGGCTAGGCACAGCACTGGATGAAGACAGTGGGTGACCTAGGTGCAGGAGAAGGGGCCCAGCCTGGAAGTCCCCTGAGTGACTCATCTCTGTCCCATGCTGAGCCAATGACCACCACTAGGGCTGTCCCAGGGATCCTGTCTGCAGCATGAATGGACTTCACTCCTCCTGAGACAGAGCCCAGGACTGCAGGCCACATAACATGCCATGGGCCTCCAGTGGCTGGACTGTCCTAGCTGGGGGAAGCCCCATCCCTCAGGGACTTCCTCTCCAAGAGGCACAAGCTACTTAGGAACCCACACCAACTTACCCACAAGCCCTTATGGTAACTAGTAGCAAATACAATAACAATAGCTAAAAGTAAGGGCTAATATTGATAATGATAATTTATAGTAAATAACATATGCAACTAATAGATAATGGCTAATAAAAATAACAGTTTATATTTAACGATTAGTAATAGTCTCCACAAGCCTTGTGACTGAGCAATTTCACTTTGGGTATATATTCAACAGGAATGCACATAACTGTTCCCCAAAAGCCATATGAAATCATATTTATAGCAGCACTATTCAGAATGACCCCAAGCTCTGCTCTTCAGAGTCAAACTTTGAATACCCAAATATTATCTTAAAAGCAGACTTTTTAAAAAAATCACAACTTGAGGAAAACAAAAACAATAGCTGAATTGCCAACAGAAATAATGGAAGCCCCCATTTAACCAAATGAATGAAAGTAACTACCAATGTTGAATTCTGTGTAAAAAACAGCCTTCAAAAATGAAGGAAAAGCCAGGTGTGATGACGCATGCCTGTGATCCCAGCATTTGGAAGGCAGAGGCAGGAGGATCACTATGAGTTTGAGGCCAGCCTGAAATACATAGCAAGACCCTGTCTCAAAAACAAAAACAAAAATAAAATTAAACTTTTAATTATTTTTTTAAATGAAGGAAAATAGGGCTGGAGATTTAGCTCAGTGGTGTTGCACCTGCCTCGCAAGCACAAGGTCTTGAGTTTGATCCCTGGTATCAAAAAAAAAAAAAAAAAAAAAAAAGAAGAAGGAAAATAGTAGTAGTACTCACCTATAAGCCCAGAACTCTGGGAGGCTGAGATAGGAGGACCGGCCTGTACAACTTAATTTTAGGCCAGCCTGGACAACTTAGCCACGTAGAGAGACTGTGTCTCAAAAACATGGGTATATAGGTCACTCATTGTGAAGGCTCTGGGTCAATCCTCAATACTGGGGGAAAAAATAAAAATAAAAATATTTTCTGACCAACAAAAGCAGAGAAATATTAGAAATACCAAAATGGGGCCAGGGATTTAGCTCAGTGGCACCACGCCTGCCTTGCAAACCCAAGGTCCTAAATTCAATCCCTGGTACCCCCCCGCAAAAAAAGCAAGAAAAAAATATCGAAATGACCTAACATTAAAATAATTTTTGAAAAGCACATATCAAATAGAAATTTCATTTTGTTTTGTTTTTTGCAACAGGGTCTCACTATATAGTTCAGGCTATTCTTGAACTCACTATGTAGCCCAGGCTGGCCTCGAACTCACAATGATCCTCCTGCCTCAGCCTCCTGAGTGCTGGGATTACAAATGTGCACTACCACAGCCAGCCCTAATTTCATATTTAAAAGAGATATGTTTATTAAAACAAAATATATTCAGATTTTGAATTTTTAACCTGACAAAAGAAATTTTATGAATACAGCTAGTTTGTCAAAAGCAACCTCTGACTTGACTCTTACATTTTCTGAAATTTAGGTCTTACAGAAATTTCATCTGAAATAGCTTTAATTAAAACACATTGTGTTTGAATATATTTTTTTGGCAGTACTGGGGAATGAATCCAATGCCTTTGCATTGAGCTACACCCCAGCCCTTTTTATTTTAAGAGTTTATTTGTTTATTTATTTACTTACTTTTGAGACAGTGTCTTGCAATGGTTAAACTGCTCAGGCTGGGCTTGAACTTTCCACCTTCCTCAGCCCCTCATACTTCAAGGCTTACAGATGTCCACCACAGCGCCTATTGTATGTTCAGATCTTCCAGACCTGACTTGTGAATTTTATTTTCTAGAATCTTATCTGAATTTGGAAATGGCCTTGAGAAAATTTTAACAATACCAATTACACTGGTATTCTTTAAAAGAAGTTTCAGAGGGCCTGGGGATTTAGCTCAGTGGTGCAGTGCCTGGCTGGAAAGCCCCAGGTTCTGAATTTGATGGCCAGTACTGGGGGGGAAAAAAAAAAAAAAGGGCTTGGGATTTAGCTCAGCGGTTCAGTGGCCTGCCTTGCAAGCACAAGGATCCAAGTTCAATCCCTGGTACCAAAAAAAAAAAAAAAAAAAAAATTTTTAAGAAAACTAAAATT